ATACGATATAATTCCGATATCGATATGAACACTATTTATCTGAAATAGAAATCTTTTGTAACATTATATATGCCTTTATCATCACTTTTGATACATTTTAAGCATCCTTGCTAAATAAAAGTATTAGTTTCTATCATTTCTTTCCCCAAAAAATTATAACAATTATACTGACTCCAAGCTTGTATCACTCATTAGAACATGCAGAAACGAAGAAATACATTTTTCTATTTAGATATTTATTTTGTTAAGGAAAATTAATGGTCTGGTTTCTACAACTTTCACTTTGGAGCAAAAATCTGTCTTTGAACTTGAAAGAAATAAAGATTTGACATTTATCGTGATAATTATCGATATGAAATTTGTTTTATTATTATGATAATTTTAAATTGATTATTATTGTGATAAATTTTTTTTTGGGCCATATCGCCCAGCCCTAATATTTAAGGAATATCGCATTAGCAAAAGTGTTGCTGTTTTGAATATCAGCTCGACCATGATTTGGCCACAGGCACGAGACTGCAGGTAATAATAACAGTTGTGATGATATTCAGTAATCTATTTCATTTCCTGCTGGTAATGCACAGCTTTGATGTCTGCAGTCTGAAAGAACAGCAATGAAACCAAACATGCAACTATGTCCTGAATCGGAGCAAATGTCGTAGGCTGTTCACACATTATGTTGCACTCAACTGTGATGCTGTGTTTTCTACATCATTTCACACATGACGCAGCGCTCAGGTTAAAATAAATTAAACTTTTTAATAAAGTCTTGCATGACTTTGCATTTTCAGGACCAAAGGAAAACAAAACTACACAAATAAGAGGCAAAAGAAAGACAAAAGACACTGTTGATAATATGACAAATATATGCTCTGGCCTTCCTTTGACAGATAAAAACAGATTAAAACATGTTTATATAACTGCACAAAGCATTCCCTATCTTAAAATGCATTTGACCAACTGAACGATGCTACATTTTTGCAAAAGACAGCACTGTCATATATTTTGCATATATAGTTTATTGATGTAGATGTCATGATCAAAACATTCTCTAGTTGGTAATGCCTCTTGGAATCACTTTAACAAGTAAATAAATTAATTTCAAACAATTCTGAGTAATGGGCATCATTTGTGCTGACTGTGGGGGTTTGGGGAGCTGAAAAGAGAAACCAGAGAGGGACACCTGCAGCCTGAGAGGAAATGATACTAAATAATGTTATCATTTCTTGTGGGAGTGTCATTTTGGGTTGTTATCTCAAAATGCAAACAGTCACAAACATAGGATCGACTTTCTGTGAAAACATGAGCTCAGTAGACTGAATATGAGGTAATATTCAGCCTGTGCATGTGTGTTTGCTACTCTTCTGCCAGAACAGAGGGCAGAACACAGCTCATTACTGCTTTTATTCATAATTTGGAGGTAGTATAACAGTTTTAGTGATGTGAATTCACTGCATGATAACCACTTTCCTTACCATGACACACACCTGCAAGTCATGACAAAAATAACCAAAACCAACCTTATGATGGACAAATAATAATAATATTCAAATATAAAACCCCTTATAACATAATGCAACCCTACAAAAAATATAGTGCTAACAGCACTGGTCTGAGAGAGGAGGTTATCAGTCAACTCTGCTTTCAGTTATTTATTATTCATATCTAGCCTTTGGTAAAAATAGCACCAAAGTTAAACATACAAAATGTGAAAATGCACAGCCTTTTTCAAGATGCAACTTTTCTCATTTTGCAGAAGTATGAGCAAGACGACCTTAGAGCCCCAGAGAAAAGAATACACTACCACAAAAGTACCATATTTTAAATAAACATTGCTCAAACCTAATCTGAAAACAATATACATCTGAATTATGAACAAACTCTTTGCTCTGTCAGACACTAACTGATACTTTTTCTTTAATTTCCATGTTCCATTCAAAAGTATCCTGTTATTACATGAAAGCCCATTGTTGTCTGTAACTTACATTGGTGAGGAACCTGTTTCCTCTGTAAATCTGGGTTCTATCTATTGCTCTGATGAAGTCTCAACAATATCTTTTTTCTGTTTTTCTCTATTGGATATTTTGCCAAAAAAAAAAAAAAAAAAAATTTATATCAAATGTAAGTTGTATTTACCAGCATAAGACAATTTTCACTGGTGACTGTTAATGCTAGACAATGGGCACATCATACAAGAAGGCGTCTTTGTGGGAGGATCCATCTAGCAAGTTGAAGAAGCTGCTAACCACATGAAAACAACCAGAATCACATAACATTGCAATATGGCTTACAAAAGCATTCGCATTTGTGAGTAGTTGACTTGCTTTTCAACTGGCTTGATCCACGGGGGAGTATTTAAGTTGCTCAATAACAAGCAATTTCATCACTGGGTGGTGTAATCTCCATCAACTTCCCACAGTACACACAGGCACCTACAACATTAATCTACAACAGACAATACTACGTATGGACACTGACCATATCTTGTTACCTTCTCTTTTTATCCACTCTATGAAAGACAACTCAAAAGGCTGATGGGAAAACAGCTCACTGATGTTGACGATGTGGCAGGCGCACAACAACATGTTTGAGCTGATATTCGAAAAGGGATGTCAGCAAACCTCTTTATGTTTTCACAGCTGGTTAACAAAAAGCAACAAAGAGCCACCTCAAAATGGATACTAAACATAAAAAGGAGTAATGTGGCCCACATATTGAGAAATTAATTAAACTTGTTTATGATTCATCTTAGGGCATGTTCACATTTAGGCAGGTTTGATTCAAATAAAATGAACTCCGGTTTAAGGGTGGTTCTGTTAGTGTGAACTGTTATTAGCTGGTAAAAACGGTCATACCACCATATGTACACACACATACAAAATATACACCATAAAAGACATCCAATCAGGTGACTGTGTCCTTATGCCTTTGGTATCATTAGGTTCAGCGTTAAAAATGACAGTGTGAACGCTAAGCGGATGCTAAGTTTAATTTATTGATATTATTTACATTAACATTTATTAATATAGCTCCTCTCTACTCAAAATTAACTATAAGTGTAAACAAACCCTAAAACAGCTAGAAATAAGCTTGAATAAAGCTTTCCTTTTTTCTCTATGCATGAATAAAAAAGTAAATAAAAATAAATAAATATTTCATGGGAGATTAAATATTTGCACAAATTTAAAAAAGGGCAAATCTCAAAGATTGAGAATGTGAGACTTCTAGGCAATCAGTAACATCAAGGGGGGAACTGGTGACAGACAGTGTATGTCTTTAACCCAGGTCAACAAGAACTAGATGAGCACCAAAAATAAAATCCCATAGCAACAAACTCAGCTGAGCCAAAACAGGTCCCTTAACAAAGCTGAACTGTCAAGAATGCTTACTACTAAAGGAATGCACCTTATTTCATACTGATAAATAAGGTCATTGCCCAATGGACTTTTTAGTAAGTACAAAAATACTAATGCATACAAAGAGATAAAATTAAACATCTTGATAAATACACTTCTTCAAAATTAGCCATCTTCAGCAGCCCAAGAAAGCTTGGCTGTGAAGAAGTAGCAGACATTTAAAATATGAGGAAAGAAAGGAAGACCGATAGTGATAAAGACAGAGATAAATCTCAAAGCACTAAGTTACTCTAATGTCATCACTTCTTGTCTGACAGCAAGGAAGGAAGGCACAGTATGTTTACTGCTTCAGAAGAGAACTGAACTTCACCTTATCGAAAGTGTACAACAATCTACGGTGAAATTAATTTCTTGAAGTGTCTGCTGCAGCTCTGTGTCCAACCACACAAAGCCATGCTTATCCAGCTATTGCAACAGACTTCTATTGTTAGTAAACAATGTTAATTATAGTTACTACAGACTAAGCCTGACCCAAACTACAACAGTCAGCTTAATACATTCTAGGAAGTTTTTTTTTCCTTTTTGATACATTTTGTTCAGTAATTTATGAAAACATGTATAAACTCTCAAGTAAAAAAAAGTGAGCTAGACTAGCAACAACACTCTTGTGTGGAAATAACAGGAAAGGTGTGTAACTTAGCGTCTTTCATTTCGCCCTCATGTTTTTTCCCTAACACCAACTCTCACAAACATTGCGCACTCGTCAACACACTCCTGAAATAAGGCAAGAATGCAAACAGGACAGAAACGTATAATTTAAATGAATTTATAATCGGTCTCCACTCCTGATTACTTCACTCGTGAATCCACTCGTTAAGTTAGCTAGCCGGGCTGTCTTTGACAGCTAGCTAGGACATTTATTGTCACCCTCCTGAAATATCCCACTCAAAGTCATTATGAAAACGCCACACCACTCTGTCTATTAATAATGCGCTTATGTGAATAAACATCATATTCCACGTGTTTAACTGTAAAAGTTGTGTATTTTAGTGTTTAGTTTCACTTCCGCACTCACGCTCATTCTCTCTATGTTCACCCCTCCCATACTAGCTCACTTCAGCTAAAGCACAATCCGATTAACCGTCACTTTTTTCAGAAATAAAGCAAAACCCACTTACCTTTGGTGTCGCTTAAGCAGTATAAAAGCATCAAGAGTTTCAGCAAAACCATATCGAGTAAATTCATCGTTCGCACATTGACACCGAGGCTGGTTTGGCTGTTAGTTTTGCGGGTCTTAAAGGCGCAGTCGCCCTCGCTGAGTGTGTGTGTGTGTGTGTGTGTGTGTGTGTGACGGCTGCTGCTGTGCCGCTTGTCTCTAACGGCCTGACGTCAGGCGCAGGCAGAGCGGAAAGCCACGCCCACTCCCTCTCACAACCACAGTACTGAAAAGCATATCTTTGAGACTTAACTTAATGGAATATATTAAACTGGAAGACAATATGACAGCTATTTAAAAATATAATTAACACTGGTTGTCGTTCATGGAGATCCTTTCTCATGCAAAGTACTTAATACTTAATAATTTTAGTTTGTATGTCAGTCGATCAATTCAAATTGCCATTCTAATTTATCTATGGATCTTGTCATTTAAGACAGTAGTGGTAGTTTTCTTTCCTTGCCTTACACTGAATTTGAAAACCAAAAAAAAACCTGCAATTTGTATTTTAAAGTCCCCTCGACTATCTCAATGCAGACATTCCATATAGCCTACAAATTGTTTTTAGCTAATTGTAAATAGACCTTAAAGTCCGCGTGAGCCGGAAGTTGCTGCCGACTTTATTTCAGTGTAGTGCAGTGGCGGCTCGTCGGAGGAGGCAGGCGAGGCACAGCCTCCCCATAATTTTGAGGTGAAAATGGGAGGAGGACGATTTAATCACAGACTTTTAAGAAGGGATGGATGTTTGCTTCAAGTGATAGGCCAGGTAAGTGAAGTTATATTATCTTGCTGTATGCATGTCCTTTTCTTTACGTTTTCTGACTAAAAGCAACCAAAAGGCCATTTTAAAGTGGTTAAGCAAATAATATAATAATAATAATCGGCAGGGATCCCAGACGTTACAATAACCAATAACGTTACAATTAGTGTGCCTCCTCTATTTTAAAACCCAGGAACCGCCACTGGTGTAGTGACGTATTTCCATCTGAAACGGAATATTGAATCGAGGGCAGGGTTTTCTGTTTGCGCTCCTCCTCTCTGTCTCTCACTCATAACAATCGGATTAATTGTTCTCATCAAGACTAGCAATGTGCGCTAGTAAAGTAAATAAAGTCAATTTTGATTTCATGCGGACTTTAACTGTAACAAATGTTTTTGCACTTTTAGAATAAAAATACGTCCTTTACAGATCGCTTTTATAAACGAGAACGTCTCTAAATTGAGGTTTTGTCACATTTAACTCACTTTTGGGGACAAATATGCATAGTTAAAGGGGTCCTATTATGCTCTTTTACGAAGTCTTGATTTTGTTTTGGGGGTGTACTAGAACAGGCTCTCATACTAGGTTGTTCGAAAAACACATTATTTTTCACATATTTTACATTACAACACCTCTCTCCAGGGCCGCATTAAGACCTCACTGGGCCCTGGGGCTATGATATATGATAAATAGGATTTTTATGCTATCAAAATTTTTTGATGCACTGAAATTTCATAATTCTTGTTACCAATTTCAATATCACAAACAAAAAATACTAGCTCCACTAAAACCAAGCTTACTGAACAAGTAAACAGTCACAAATTATAATAGCACAAAGATACATACGAAATCAACCAACTTGAAAAACATAATTCTTGTTACCAATTTCAATATCACAAAAAAAAAATACTAGCTCCACTAAAACCAAGCTTACTGAACAAGTAAAGTCACAAATTATAATAGCACAAAGATACATACGAAATCAACCAACTTGAAAAACATTTTAAAAAATGAATAAGAAATATTATATTGTATAAAGTAAATGTACAAATAGACTGAATAGTCTTCACTGTATAAATTCAATACATTAATTCTTACTTATTTTACAAAAGTGATTCAGTCAAGGACAGTGAGTGATTTTCTTTCTGATGTTTGATTTACATTATTGACACAAATGGCAACAGCAGCTATATTAGGCTGCTTTAGAGGAATACTTCACCCAAAAATGAAAATTCTGTTGTTGTTCTAAACCTGTACGAGTTTCCCTCTGCTGTTGAACGCAAAAGAAT